ATAAAGACCCTCCTGACCGTTGTTACTGAAACCTGTACCAATGATTATTAAGAAAACAATTCAAAATGTGGAATCACAGTGACTTAACAGTTTTTAGCCAATCTGTGAAAAGGTGAAGCTTTCGATGATTTTACCCATTTGTGATGTTAATAGATACTGATGATTCTGTAATGCTCCTCAGACTCAGCAGACATTAGCTCTGGTAGCATACTTATCTGTTTTCCACTTTTGCCTTTCTGAATGTATGCCGAATAAAACTTTCTTTTTGCTTTTTTTAAAAAAAGCACATTCTGAGGGCTTAACCCCGATTTAATGAAGCAGAAACGCTGAGAGTGGAGAGCCTATCACTGAGAGTTTTAACAAGCTCTCCTGGTGATTTTTACGGACATTAACTTTAGAGAAACACTCTACAAGATAAATCTTTTTGTTCCCTTCCAGGTTTCCAGACTATGACTAAGTTTGGGAAGGGTGTTTGTTATTTGAAAGTCACTATACTGACAAGATCTGAAAGAACTGTAAGGGGCCTAAGGAAATTTGTATATCAAGTGTCTTGCTAGTGATCATTTAAAAGTACTTGAGGAATGCTAAATTCTTGTCATTAGATCTCTGAAGAGTGGCTAAAGGAGTTATTTAGTATAAAGAAAGGAGTCCTTGGGAGGTGCAAACAGTTAGTTTACTGGGCTGTGAAGAAGAAGGCACCTCAATTTGATGGCAACTGGTTTAGTATAAAGTGAAGCAAATTAATCAGGTACTGAAGCATTATTCCCCCAGAAATAGGAACCAAGGATGTGAATTTAAATTGCAGTTAGATATATGTTAAACCCAAGAAACATCTCGATGAGAAGCAAGCACAAAACATTTTGAAAAGACATAGGGTGATTTTTAAATCAATTTTCAATGAGCGTGGTATAGAAAATCCTCATTTTGAAGTCTTTGGCTATAGCCTTTCCTGGAGTCAGAGATGGACATCTTTGAAGTAGCATCCAATTCTTAGAATATAATGACTCTGAATACCAGCTAATAATCATCATGTGTTTATTTTCTCACTGGTTATTTTGGAAATGCTTTCGAAGTAAAATAAAGACTACTGAGAAGTTAATATGCCTAACGAGTGTTGTTGTTCCAGTCTTAGGGAATTTGGGGTGAACTTGTCAAATGAATTTATGTACTTTAAAAAGCTTTTTATGACATTTTAATGATGTTTAAAAGCTGAAGGAATGGGATTAGGACCATAAAATCCTTTACTCTTAACATTGTTTCTTTGATCTAATTTAGAACATTTGTATGTTAGAAATAGGATCTGATTTGGATTGAGTTCTCATTGTTTGCTAAAATACGGTGTGGAAAAAAATTTCGTATACACACAAACAGTATTAAATATAGTAATGACAAAGGACAGCTATGCGCTTTCTCTCCAGTTAAGCACTTCAGTTAGAAAAATTAGCATCGTAGAATGCATAGGAGTGCTTGAGACTTTTCATGCATCTTTAAATCCAGATGGTATACATTTAAATATTAAGTCTTAGATGGTTCGGTGGAAAATGTTTAGTAGAAACTGTTTAGCTGAGAAAGAAGATTATACACTAGGTAACTGGAGGCATTGAAGAAAAGTATACATTTGCATTCTTGTTTTTCAAAAGTATAACAGAATCTGGTTATAATACAGATGTTGGGGGTAAGATTGGGAAGAGAGCTACATAGTTGGCCTTTTCCTTAGGTCTTGAGAGAACTGAGACTGTGGCATAATTAATTGGATTGAATGAGGCAGTGTGGTCTGTAGTGGACCAAGCCTGGGATTTGAGTCTGACGACCTAGGTTCTAGAGGTAATTTCATTTCTTATGGGTTTTGTCACCTTGGACAAAACTACTTTGGGCCTTATTTTTGTCCTAGGGTAAAATCACCGCAAAGTTATAGTAAAGCAAAATGAAAGATTTTATTCCGCATATGTTCAAAGAGGCAAAAGTGGGAAATGGACAAGCATGCTGCCAGAGCCATGTCTGCCCAAGTCCAAGGAACAGAATCAGCAGCACATATTAACGTTACAAATGAGTAAAATTATTGAAAGCTTCACCTTTTCACGGATTGGCTAAACACTGCTAAATCACCGTGATTCTACATTTTAATTGTTTTTCTTAATAATCATTGGCACAGGTTTTGGTAACTACAGTCAGGAAGGTCTTCTTTGGGCCAACAAATATTACTATTTACTTAAAAAAAAATACGCCATCGAGTCCACTCTGACTCATAGTGACCCTGTAGGACATAGTAGAACTGCCCCATAGGGTTTCCAAAGAGCAGCTGGTGGATTCAGACTGCCTGTCTGTTGGTTAGCAGTCGAGCTCTTAACCACAGCACCACCAGGGCTCCTACTATTTACCAAACCCTAATAAAAAAGAGAAGAGTTGAAAATATGTGGGTCTTTTGTGCTCTGTTTGTGATTTTTTTATGTGAACCAAACCTGTTGCCGTTGACTCGATTCCAACTCATAGTGACTCTGTAGGACAAAGTAGAACTGCCCCACAGAGTTCCCAAGGAGCACCTGGTGGATTCGACTGCCGACCTTTTGGTTAGCAGCCTTAGCACTTAACCACTACGCCACCAGGGTTTCCTGTTTATGTGAAAGTTTCCCTAAAGGATATTTTTCAAGATTGTCCTAGCTATTGTCTTTATGCCTCAGGGCCCAGTTGATGTGTCCTTGTGAGTCCAGCTCCAGCTGGGTCACATTTCTTTATGCTCCAGGACAGGGACTAATGATTCCAATTTTATCTCCTAAATCACTTCCCATGTTTATAAAATGTGAAGAGTAATAATATTTATCTCAATGGATTGTTGTAAATATGAAACAAATGTAAGTGAAAACTGCTTTGAAAGTAGGAAGGCGGATATTAGATTATTCATAATAATGGATCTTTATTTGGTCTCCTATTGATGAGGAATTCATCAAAAAATCTAAATTAGGTGATTAGAGATGAAGTGTATAGTTTTTAAAAAGAGCAGGAAAAGTTCTTTATGAATGTTTTTCAGTTAGAATAAGTACAGCAAACCTGTATTTCAGTTGTGGTCCTCTGACAGGTGAGTTCATAATGGTTTGTCATTATGATTATTTAAAAGTATTACCATCAGTTTGAGGTTCATGGTTTTTTCTTCCAGAGATACTGTTTTTAAAGTAGAAAATGTATTTGTAGTATTTAAGGGAAACTGCATTATGTAAGAAATATTGTGATGGCTGAGTAGCATGCTTGGATTATGCAATAAATTTTTTTCTAGCACATTACAGATGCAGTGCCATAGAATAATATGAAAAATGCTTCACACCTTCAAATGTCTTTACCGTGCTCGCTGTGCATAAATGCAGTCATGTATTATATGTTATAAGCCTTTTAAAAATGAATTGTGAGTTAAAAACTTATACTCCAGTGGTGGCATGTTAATTATGAGTGCACAGCTAGGTTGTCATACATATTAACTGTCCTTTCTTGCCAGCAAAACAATTTAATACTGGATGGGGATTATCATATTTTTAGCAAATAACGCCAACCTTACCCTAGCTACCACCCCCCCACCCCCGCCCCAGGTATTTTTGTAAGCTAGCTATGCTAATTTTCTTTTACAGCAACATGTAAAAAAATTAGCATGGCACTTACAAAAATGGAGGGGGTGCTTGGCAAAAAAAAAAAAAAGTGTAACATGCATTATTTGCATAAAAATACAGTAATTATAAAGCAGGCTTTGCACATGGATTGGTAAATCCAAAGTAAATTTTAGACCTGCCCAACTTTTTGATCTTTGAGATGACAGGGGCCCAAGATTACTGCTAAAAATATCCTAAATACAATTTGAGATCAGTACTCTTAAATTTCAAGTACTTAGTAAAGCAAAAATAAGATCATATCTTCACAGCAAATACAAAAAACTTCACAGCAACTTTTTAGAGGTTGCATGGGCACTAAAAATACAATTTCACACCTAATTAAAAAGATTCTAGTGTTTCAGAATTTTCTCACAGTTCAAACTGATCAATGCATATATAATTTAAACTATCACAAATGATTTTTTGAAGTAGATGCTTAGCATGGTTTTTAATAAACTTCCAAAATTTAAAAAAAAAAAAACACCTAATCTGATGTCTAACTCTGTGTAAAAATAATATAATTTCAGCCATATTTCTGAGCTATATCTGGAAAGGTTTATAAACTTTTGACATTTTCTAATAAAATTGGTAGGCTAAATTTTAGGAGTGCTGAGCCTTCTTATTTGGATAGATGTGTGGTTTCTAATGAGGGTACATGAATCATGTGGTTTGACAATCGTTTGACAGTCCGTCTGACAAATGCAAGTAGGACCAACTATGTATGGGGACAGAGTGAAAAATAAACATATGCAGGCTGCTTCAAAAAATCTAGTGTTGCAGACAGGATTTTAAAGTATGTTTCATCTAAATTTCTGTAGAAACTTCTCTGAAATTGGAAGAAAGTTGAATTATGGTTTGATGTGTGGGTACCAAAACCAAAAAACCAAACCCATTGCCATCGAGTCGATTCCAATTCATAGTGACCCTATAGGACAGAGTAGAATTGCCCCACAGAGTTTCCAGGGAGCTGCTAGTGGATTCAAACTGCCAACCTTTTAGTTAGCAGCCGACCTCTTAACCACTACACCGCCAGGGTAACCCAAACCAAACTAAACCCGTTGCTGTCAGTCAATTCTGACTCATAGTGACCCTGTAGAACAGGGTAGAACTGCCCTGTAGAGTTTCCAAGGAGTGCCTGGTGGATTCGAACTGCTGACCTTAGTTAGCAGCTGTAGCACTTAACCACTACGCCACTGGTAGAGCCCTATATGTACTGCTTTGCCAGACGTGCCCCAGGGTGAAAAGTGAACTAACTGACCCCTGTTTGGTAAATCATGTCTTATAATGGAGAGGGTCTCTAAAGATAGTGTCTCTAATTTTTTTTTGTTTGAATGACTAGCTAGTTCAGGATTATCTGCTTTCTCATAGAATGAAGACAAACACAGAGATGGTGTGTCTCAGAAATTTCAAAAGGTGTAGACCTCCTGATTGAAGCAAATTCAACTTACTTGATTTACTTTTTTTATTATAGTAAGTATAAATATTTAAACTGCATAAATTTGGTCCATGCTGATTTGTATTTCCTTGTTTTGTTTTTGTTTTTTAATAATATTTTATTGTGTTTTCAGTGAAAGTTTACGTAGCAAATTAGGTTCCCATTTAACAATTACTACACAGATTGTTCAGCAACGTTGTATTCTTTGTTGAGTAATCACTCTGTCAAATACCTTTATCATTGTTATAGCTGTTGTGCTTTATATTCTTCCTCAATTTCAGTTGCATATCTTAAGTGAATTTAACTCTTAAGACCTTTGAGAGGACAAATAAAACCATAAACTTAAACTGGAAGAGCCCTTAGAGATTATCTGGTCCACTCCTCCACTGCAAAAAAATTCCTTTGTTGAATCCTTGACACACAGTCATCTTACTCACTTAGACCCTGCTAAGGATAGGGGGTGCTTAACTATTTCACAGAGCAGCCATTTCTGTGGACATTCCACCTCAGATGAATCAAAATATGACTTTCTAAAACTTCCTCCCACCTAGTTCTGCCTCTGAAACAAACACTCTTTCATCCATGAGGGAGTTATGCAAAAATGTAAAGAAATTCTCAGGCCCCCCAGTCATCTTTTAGCTTAGCTGAACATCATCAATTATCTGTATTCTTCTGCAGGAAATGATTTGTAGACAAGTATCTCCTGATTTTTTTGTTGCCATTTAATCTTTAAACTACAACGAACCATGGGTTCTAGATGTGATCTCACTAGGCAGGCACAGGACTGTGACCCCTTTATCTGGGTCCAGCTATACATATGGCCAAAAGTTGTAACTGCTATTTTAGCTTAATAAGCTGTCACACAATTAGGCCAAAGTATACATGTCAAATAAAATGCCTGGGTATTTTTTACATGTTCTTTCATCTAGCAGTGTTTTCTAACATGCCCCCCCAACCCCACGATGTCTTACAGTATTTTGGGGTCTCAGTCCAGGACTTTTCATTTGTCTCTTATAATCCTCTTATTGTATTTTTGGTCTTGCCTGGGCACACAATTCTAGTTAACTGCAGTAGGGTGAGGCAGAATGGGAGGAGTTGAGAATTAGAAATAAACCCAAAAAACCAAAATCACTGCCATCCAATTGATTCCTACTCATAGTGACCCTATAGGACAGAATAGAACTGCTCCATAGGGTTTCCAAGGCTACAAATCTTTATAGAAGCAGACTGCCACTTCTTTCTCCTGCAGAGCAGCTGGTGGGTTCGATCTGCCGACCTTTCGGTTAGCAGCCGAGCGCTTTAACCACTGTGACACTGGGACTCCCTAGAATTAGAAATAGGTCCTCTATAAACTACAGTAAGGAGTCCCTGGATGGTGCAGTTAACGAACTAAAAGGTTGGAGCTTGAATCCACCCAGAAGAAAGGCCTAGCAATCTACCTCCAAAAAAATCAGCCATTGAAAACCCTGTGGAGCACAACTCTGCTCTGACACACATGGGGCCACAATAAGTTGGAGGCAACTCAACCGCAACTGGTAAGCTAGAGTAAAGGAGGAAAACCCTGGAGAATTATATAATCAAGCTGTAAGTCTTAAGAGGAAGTTGAATCCATAATATGAGTATATATCCTTTATTCAGGCAGAAAGTGCTGCTTCAGTCCATCAGTTAAAATCAGGGATCGTGGGATGCCCTAATGGAAAAGCATGAAGATGTATGGTCCAGGAGAAGATGGTCAGGGGTATGTTGAGGCTGACCAGCACAACAGACAATATTAACAGATAGCAGGGCCTTTGCAGTGTGATTCTGGCATTCAAGCACAAAACCATTCCCTGGAAGAATAACTAATGAGAGAGAGAGAGAAAGCTACTAATACTGAGGTATATAGAGAAAATCTCAAGCCCAAGAAAGATGATAAAACTTGAGACCTAAGAAAATTCAGGAGAAACCCTTGGGTGTAAGGTCACAGCTAGACCAGCAACAAAGGGTGGCCATGCTTCTGTGATTTTTTTTTTATTTTTATTTTTTATAAAAGATACTTTATAAGACCCAAATATTTCCCTTTATCTGTCTTACTCTATGCCATCTTACAGGTGGTCTAGCTATTACTAACTAACAGTATTTCTAAAAATTGGTTTATGTAAGGCTGAGAAAAATTCCTAGGAGATTGTCTAAATACTTTTCAATAGGGAAATGCAAAAACCATCTTGTTTTTCTGACAGCAAAAAAAACTTAATAATAGAGTATGCCCTTCATCATTTATCATGTTAGTACTTGGAACCAAAACATTAAACATGAGAGAGAGGGTCCCCATTGTAGAGTGTTCTAATTGGGTTTTTCTCTCCTATCCCTTTTTAAGCTATTACTATTGTTTCCTAACTTTTAAATACTCTAAGTTGGACATGTACTTGTTATAGAGCAAGAGCTTGGAAGGAAAAGGAGAAAATGCATTAAATGCCATTTTGTGAGCATAGAATCAGTAGATTCCCTCCAAGCTTAAGGGATAGTTTTATAAAGTGGTGTTTCCTCAAAGGGGGTTCCTTGCGGTTATTACAACACAGCTCTAGGCTGTAGCTGATGCTTCAGACATGGGGGTGAGGCATGGAATAGAGCTTATTCAGACCTTTTGGAGGGACCGTTAGAAAACTGTAGGATAACAAGAAGTTTTCCCATTGTCAGTTGAAGAATTATTGGCTCCTGGTTTATGATTACCCAGCATGGAATCGAGATCCAGGAAGTAACTAGATAATTGCCTGAATTCTTGCCCCCATGCACCCTTACACGTCCAGTCTGACCTTCACCAGATAGTGTCCCATCTCAAGGACTTTACAGTGCAGAGTTGGGATAGCCTAAAATTTCAGGTGAAACCAGAAGACTATGTGCCGCTCAATCCTCTCTGTCTTCTAGGTTTTGCTCCCTGAGCTAAATTGTACAAGCATTAGAGTTCAATGCCTTCTTTGGGGCATTTGCTTCAGTGATTTTTCTTTTGTTTTCTTCTTCCAGTTTCCATACTTCTACAAGCAAAAGTCATGATTACACTAACAGAGCTAAAATGTTTAGCAGACGCCCAGTCATCTTATCACATCTTAAAACCGTGGTGGGATGTCTTCTGGTATTACATCACCCTGATCATGCTACTGGTGGCTGTGCTGGCTGGAGCGCTCCAGCTCACGCAGAGCAGAGTTCTGTGCTGTCTTCCATGTAAGGTGGAATTCAACAATCGCTGTGCCGTGCCTTGGGACATCCTGAAAGCCAGCATGAACGTGTCCTCTGACCGTGGGGCCCCACTCCCGCTCCCCCTCAGAATCCAGAACGACCTCCATCGGCAGCAGTACTCCTACATCGATGCTGTCTGTTACGAGAAACAGCTCCATTGGTTTGCCAAGTTCTTCCCTTACCTGGTGCTCTTGCACACGCTCATCTTTGCAGCCTGCAGCAACTTTTGGCTTCACTATCCCAGTACCAGTTCCAGGCTTGAGCATTTTGTGGCCATTCTTCACAAGTGCTTTGATTCTCCATGGACCACTCGAGCCCTATCGGAAACGGTAGCTGAGCAGTCCGTGAGGCCTCTGACACTCTCCAAGTCTAAGGTTTTGCTTTCATCCTCAGGGTGTTCAGCTGATGTTGATTCCAACAAGCAGTCGTTGCCCTACCCACAGCCAGGCTTGGAGTCAGCTAGCATAGAAAGCCCAACTTCCAGTGTCCTAGACAAGAAGGAGGGGGAACAAGCCAAAGCCATCTTTGAAAAAGTGAAAAGGTTCCGCATGCACGTGGAGCAGAAGGATATCATTTATAGAGTGTATCTGAAGCAGATAATAGTTAAGGTCATTTTGTTTGCCCTCATCATAACTTACGTTCCATATTTTTTAACCTATATCACTCTTGAAATTGACTGTTCCATTGATGTGCAGGCTTTTACAGGATATAAGCGCTACCAGTGTGTCTACTCCTTGGCAGAAATATTTAAAGTCCTGGCTTCATTTTATGTCATTTTGGTTATACTTTACGGTCTCACCTCCTCATACAGCTTGTGGTGGATGCTGAGGAGTTCCCTGAAACAATATTCCTTTGAGGCATTAAGAGAAAAAAGCAACTACAGTGATATCCCTGACGTCAAGAATGACTTTGCCTTCATCCTTCATTTGGCTGATCAGTATGATCCTCTTTATTCCAAACGCTTCTCCATATTCCTGTCGGAGGTCAGTGAGAACAAACTGAAACAGATCAACCTCAACAATGAATGGACAGTTGAGAAACTGAAAAGTAAGCTTGTGAGAAATTCCCAGGACAAGGTAGAACTGCGTCTTTTCATGCTCAATGGTCTTCCAGACAATGTCTTTGAGCTCACTGAAATAGAAGTGCTAAGCCTGGAGCTTATCCCTGAGGTCAAGCTGCCGTCCACAGTCTCTCAGCTGGTCAACCTCAAGGAGCTTCACGTGTCCCACTCCTCTCTGGTGGTAGACCATCCTGCACTGGTCTTTCTAGAGGAGAATTTAAAAATCCTACGCCTGAAATTTACTGAGATGGGAAAAATTCCGCGCTGGGTATTTCACCTGAAGAATCTCAAGGAACTTTATCTGTCAGGCTGTGTCCTGCCGGAACACTTGAGCACCATGCAGATGGAGGGTTTTCAGGACTTAAAAAACCTGAGGACTCTCTATTTGAAGAGCAGCCTCTCCCGGATCCCACAAGTCGTGACAGACCTCCTGCCTTCACTGCAGAAGTTGTCCCTAGATAATGAGGGAAGCAAATTGGTTGTGTTGAACAACTTGAAAAAGATGGTCAATCTGAAAAGCCTCGAGTTGATCAGCTGTGACCTGGAACGCATTCCACACTCCATTTTCAGCCTGAACAATTTGCATGAGTTAGACCTAAAAGAAAATAACCTGAAGACTGTGGAGGAGATCATTAGCTTTCAGCATCTCCAGAATCTCTCCTGCTTAAAGTTGTGGCACAATAACATTGCTTATATTCCCGCCCAGATTGGGGCATTATCTAACCTAGAGCAGCTCTATTTGGACCATAATAATATTGAGAATCTGCCTCTGCAGCTTTTCCTATGCACCAAACTATATTATTTGGATCTAAGCTATAACCATCTGACCTTCATTCCAGAAGAAATCCAGTATCTGAGTAATTTGCAGTACTTTGCTGTGACCAACAACAATGTAAGTAAATCCATTCTTCACTCAGCCGGTCTTTTGAGCATCTGTTGTGCTTGCAGTGTGTAATGTAGGGGGGAGAATGGACTTTAAGTCATACTAAGTGTCCTCTGAGCCTGGCCCAACTCCCACTTACTAGACATGTGACCGTGGACAAAAAACACGGCCATCAGTTTTTAACTCGCAAGTAAGTTGTCACAGAGAGTTTTTGAAAAAATATTTAAAGCATTTGGCACATAGTAGTTGCCCAACAAGTTATTCTCTTTCCCAATTTTCTACATTAATATCACAGTTTAAATATTTTAAACAAAACTAGTATTTTAACTTTAAACCATCTATAGTAGAGCTTAGTTTTTATTTTTGAAAGGTCTTAAATATAAAGTTTGGTACAACTCTTCAGCTTTTCAAATCTGTTGTAGGAGAATAACTTTTTTATTTAAAATGCCATGCTCATGAATTATTCACAAATCTTTTTTGTATTGTGGTAAGAAAGAATTGAAATCTACATGCATGCCTGGAAAGACAATTTAAAATGAAAGGCCTCGTTCTATAATGCAACACTAGGGCTTCTGGAAGCTTTTTTGAAACATCCCCGCTTGAAAATGAACCATAATTTGCAATAGTGAAGCCAAGTTAAGGAAAGCTTAACTTCACTGAAACAAGAAAAAAAAAATAAATGAGTACTTTCCTGGGTGAAAGCGATGCAAAAGGAGAGGAAGAAGTGAAAAGCCATGCTGATCTAAAGGGTAAGAGAGAGGATGAGGGTAATGTCCATTCAGGAAGAAGAAAGAACACTGTCAGAAATCAGGTCTGCCAAGGTCATGGAAGCTCCATAGACACATCCAAACCCCCTGAGGGACCAAATTACTGGGCTGAGGGCAGTGGAGACCATTGGCATAACATTTATAAGGAAAATATTCTACACTGTACTTTGGTGAGTAGCATCTGGGGTCTTAAAAGCCTGTGAGCAGCCATTTAAGATACTCCACTGGTCTCACCCCATCAGGAGCAAGGGAGAATGAAGAAAACTAAAGATACAAGGGAAAGATTAGTCCAAAAGACTAATAGTCCACAACTACCACGGCCTTCACCAGACTGAGTCCAGCACAACTAGATGGTGCTACCACCACTGACTGCCCTGACAGGGATCACAATAGAGGACCCCAGGCAGAGCTGGAGAAAAATATAGAACAAAATTCTAACTCACAAAAAAAGACCAGACTTACTGGTCTGACAGAGACTGAAGAAACTCCAAGAGTATGGCCCCCAGCAACCCTTTTAGCTCAGTAATGAAGTCACTCCTGAGATTCACCCTTCAGCCAAAGATTAGACAGGCCCATAAAACAAAATGAGACTAAAGGGGCACACAAGCCCAGGGGCAAGGACTAGAAGGCAGGAGGGGACAGGAAAGCTGGTAATAGGGAACCGAAGGGAGAGTGTTGACATGTTGTGGGGTTGTTAACCAATGTCATAAAACAATATGTGTACTAGCTGTTTAATGAGAAGCTAGTTCTGTAAACCTTTATCTAAAGTACAATAAAAAATACATAAAAGAAATCAGGTCTGCCAAAGGTACAACTGTTCTTCCTCTGGTTGAAAATGGGTGCTGTTCTTTTCTTCTACCCCACTCAAAATGTATATTATATCCTAGACTTTTTGTAATTTATATTCATGCTAAATATAGCTATGGGCATGGTGTTGACTAATAAACATATTAATCACCAGACGTTATTTTGGAAAACCATGGATTGTTGGAGAAATACAAAAAAATAGAAAGATGAGAGCACATTCATGCTGGTTTTTAAAACCCTGAGCCTTTATCACATGTAAAAGGATGCAGCCCATTCTAAGATAAATAAAAAATCTTCAGAAGGGAAGGACAACACACAATACAGGGGAAGTCAGCACAACTGGACTAAACCAAAAGTTAAGAAGTTTCCTGAGTATAACTGAACACTTCGAGGGACAGAGTAGCAGGGGCAGGGGTCTGGGGACCATGATTTCAGGGGACATCTAGGTCAATTGGCATAACAAAGTTTATTAAGAAAATGTTCTGCATCCCATTTGGGTGAGTGGTGTCTGGGGTCTTAAAAGCTAGCAAGTGGCCATCTAAGATGCATCAGTTGGTCCTGACCTTTCTGGAGCAAAGGAGAATGAAGAACACCAAAGACACAAGGAAAGTATTAGCCCAAGAGACAGAAAGGGCCACATAAACCAGAGACTACATCAGCCTGATACCAGAAGAACTAGATGGTGCCTGGCTACCACCAATGACTGCCCTGACAGGGAGTACAACAGAGAGTCCCTGATGGAGCAGGAGAAAAGTGGGATGCAGAACTCAAATTCACGTAAAGAGACCAGACTTAATGGTCTGACTGAGACTGGAGGGACCCCGGAAGACATGGCTCCCAGAATTTCTGTTAGCCCAGAACTGGAATCATTCCCAAAGCCAACTCTTCGGACATAGATTAGAGTGGACTGTAAGACATAAAGTGATACTCGTGAAGAGTGTGCTTCTTAGCTCAAATAGATACAGGAGACTAAATGGGCAGCTCCTATCCGGAGGCGAGATGAGAAGGCAAAATGGGACAGTAGCTGGTTGAATTGACATGGGAAATCCAGGGTGGAAAGGAAGAGTGTGCTGTCACATTGTAGGGAGAGCAACTAGGGTCCCATAACAATGTGTATAAATTTTTATATGAGAAACTAACTTGAACTGTAAACTTTCACTTAAAGCACAATTTAAAAAAAAATCTTCAAGTCTTAAAGGATTTAAGGTTTTAAAACTACTTTAGGATTGATCTAGACTAGCAGTGGTTTTTAAACCTTAGTGTACATCAGAATTACCAGAAGTGCTTGTTAAAAGCTTCTGCTGATTGCTGGGCCTTGCTCCCAGGGTTTCTGATTTCAGTAGGTCTGATGTGGGGCCTGAGAGTTTGCATTTCTAAAAAGTTCCCAGGTGAAGCTGATGCTACTGGTCTAATAACCACTAGTCTAGAGGTTATCATTTATGTTTTTTAATTATCCAGTTGACTAATATTAATATTTTGGTCACTGTGGATATTGATGGAGCCCTGGTGGCACAGTAGTTAAGAGCTATGGTGAGCTACAGCTACTAACCAAAAGGTCAGCAGTTCCAATCTACCAGCCACTCCTTGGAAACCCTATGGGACAGTTCTGCAGTTCCTGTAGGGTCGCTATGAGTTGGAATCGACTAGACAGCAACTGGTTTGGGTTTTGTTTCTGTTTTTTTAAATTTATTTTTTAATGGATATACATAATGAGGCCTGGTGGTGCAGTGGTTAAGCACTCGGCAGCTAGCCAAAAGGTCGGTCAGCAGCTGGAACCCACCAGCAGCTCCACAGGAGAAGGATGTGGCAGTCAGCTCCCTTAAAGATTACAGCCTTGAAAACCCTGTGGGGTAGTTCTACTCTGTTCCATAGGGTCACAATGAGTTAGAATCTACAACGGCAAGGGGTTTGGGTTGGCCCAAATGTTATGAACCGCTCCAATTTATATCTAGATCTTCCAACTTCCACATTCATGTATTCAATACATTTATTTAACTCCAAGATTTATAGCCAGAGGTGAATAATCTAGAAATTCCTTCTGAAGATTATTAATGTGACAATACTTGCTGTTGTTTTTGTCATCACTACTTAGAAATAGAAATAGTCAGCTTTGTTTCTTGAAATGATTGGATTTTATAGATTTAGTTAGCATGTCTTGAGATAGCATGTGTCATTGGCCGAAAAATAAGGAAATCTCATATTGAGAAGGATTCTGAAATGAGGTCCCAACTTCTGGGAAACAGTGGGGCATTTAATTATCAGTGTGTCTGTCACAGATATAAAAAGAGAACCATCCTGATTCTGGGGCCTCCAGTCCATTTTGCTGAAGACAGTTGATTGCCGGGAAATTCTAGGATACGGAGTCATAATGTAGCCATTATTTTTCTCATAGCAACTGTTATGGATTGAATTGTATCCCCCAAAAAGATACGTTGAAGTCCTAACCCCTGGTTCCTGTGAATGTGATCTGGTTTGGAAAGATGGTCTTTGAAGATGTTATCAGTTAGGTTAGCATGAGGTCATATTGGAGTAGAGTGGATCCTAATCCAATATGAGTGGTGTCCTATAAAAAAGGAAAAGAGACACAGAGGGAAGAATACCATGTAATGCTGTAGCTGCAAACCAAGGAAGTCCTGGAGCTACCAGAAGCTAGAAGAGAGACATGGAACAGATTTCTCCCTAGGAGCCTTCAGAAGGAATAAAAGGCCTACATACACCCAGAGTTTGGTCTTCCATCCTCTAGAATTGTGAGAAAATAAATGTCTGTTCTTAAAAGCCACCCAATTTGTGGTACTTTGTTACGGCAGCCCTAGGAAACTAATACAGTAAGCACTGTGATTAGGGAGTTTATTATCTCCCTCATAGGTCTGTAAACATTTCTTTTGATTTCTGAGAAGAAATTAGTGGTCCATTTGGATATTTTTTCCATCTCTGGCTCCTTTATTGTAAAGTCTAAGGAAGGGCATTCTGAATGAATTAGGTATAAATAAATGCTATTAAACGCTTTTATAAAATTTACTAGCCCAGGCAAAATGTGTGCGGTATTCTTGTAAACTTTGAGGCAAGTGATTTTTAAAGTTGTAAGTAGATTTTTCAGAATAAAATTGCTGAGTTGATGGAAAGTCTTACATCTCTTACAAAGTTTCCCAGCTTCCTTTAGAAAAATTGAATTAGTGTAGGTGAGCTGAGGTCCTGTGCCAAGAGCTGTGGGCTGACAGAGAGAAAGCCCCTGAGACGGACAGTTGGCACATTGGAAGTGTTACCACTAACCTCAGCCCTTGACTCACTTTCATAGGAGCAACATTGATGGGTCTTATAGCCTCTGGCCTAAGGGGCTGCCCCAGAGGCTATCTCTCATTGCCTCCTGAAATCCTCTCTCTGCTATCTAGCTGAGAAGTCACTAAAATCACAAATTTAGAGATTTTGAAAGGAGTTTGGTGAGAACCAGGTAGTGCTAATAGCCAGACAGAAGGAGGATGACAGGAATTGGCTTCAGGGTATTTACTCAATAGGAAGTCAGACCAATTAAGCAAGATACTTGCTGGGAATCTGGAAGTTGATTAAAGCAGAGAGACGTGGGATTCCCTGATGGAGCGCAGGTTAGGACACTCTTTTTCATAGCACCCATTGTTGTTAGCTGCCATCAAGTCGACTCTGATTCATGGAGACATTACATATAACAAAAACTTTGTCCGGTCCTGAGCCATTCTCAAGATCATCAGCATGTTTAAATCCATCGTTAAGGCTATTGTGTCAATCCATCTCACCAAGGATCTCCCATACCATTGTTGGCCCTCTGCTTCATGTGATGTCCTCCTCTAGCAATTGATCCCTCCCGATGACAAGTCCAAAGTAAGCAAGTCAAACAGTATTCTGTTGTGATCTGTAATGTTTTCATTGACTAATTTTCAGACGTGGATTGCCAGGCCTTTCTTCCTAGTCTATCTGTGTCTGGAAGCTCTACTGAAATCTGTCCACCCTTGCTGACTCTGCTGGTATTTGAAATACCAGTGGCATAGCTTCCAGCATCATAGCAACAGGCAAGCCACCACAGTATGACAAACTGACAGGTGGTGGACAGCACCCATTACAGACTAATGCTTTGTGTAATTGTTTAATGTTTCTCTCTCCCATTAGACCAGTGTTTCTCAACTGGGTGCAACTTTCCCCCCAGGGGACACTTGGCAATGCTTGGAGACATTTTTGCTTGTCACAAATGGAAGAGGGGTACCACCGTCATCTAGTGGTTGAAGGCCAAGGATGCTGCTGAATATCATATAATGCACAGGGCAACACCCCACAAGAATCATCTGGCCCAAAATTTCAGCAGTGCCAAGGTTGAGAAACCGTGCATTAGACTAAGCTTCTTGCAGGCTCATCTGCCGTGAGAGCACTTTATTCCCACCACTAGCTTGGAGCCTGGCATGTAAGGAAGCACTCACAATGCTGAGTACAAGTGAGCCAAGCCTTCCCTCCTTCCAGCCAGCGTGCCCTGAGTCGTTTCTTAGGCACCACAAGACAGTCTCAACCTTGAGCATATTGCACAAGTCTGATTTTTTTCTCTATTTGTGTGTCACTGATTTACCTCTGAGCTGCAGAAGTCTCTGCCCAGAATGGGCTGCTTTAGAAAGAGGTTACATTCTGCCTCACTTCTTAATATTGAAGTCTACATACACATGGTTTTGCATTCCATTCTTGAGAAGGAAAGTAAATAAAAGGGTAAATATTTTTCCTTTGCTTATACCTAATATTTCAGTGTACAATGATTATCTATATTGAATGCTGGTCTTAGCAATAGGAATCATGATGTTTATTTTCAAAGATGTCATACTCTGTGCGGGGTGATGGAGGAGAGGGGGATTTCCAACATAATAAACATTTTTTTAATGCAATTTGATCATTTGTAGTTTACATAAAGAATGGAAGCCTGAGCTTTGTTCATATAGTTCAATCATTTTTGGGAGATCATTTTATCTTTTTTGAGGAAAGACAGATCTGCTTCGCCCTGGACGCTGTCTCCCAGGGCTTCATTAGCACGTCCCCCTTTCATCCCTATTACTAACAAGGCCCCTTCCTGAACCAAGAAACCTCCATTGTTTCATGGTTGCATAGCTGTCCCTGCACCCCCTTCTCTAAAGATGTAGAGCACTATAGCATGGGGTGCCTCTCTCAGGGATCATGGCCATGAAGTGTGCAGTCCAGCTTTGCCCAGCATAGACTCACCTCTTGGTGGGTTGTTCAGGCTGCACCTCTTCTCTAGAGGGTTTTCCCAGTAAACCTTCTTTCAGGTCTGTGCTGTGGCTCCCTTAGAAATTCATATACAACCTACCCATCGTATACAGAAGCAACTCAGCTGAGCAGCTTTAAGGGTGGATACAATTGCAGGCTATTTATCATACTTAAAACTATTTCCTTGTTATATGAATTATTTAATTGAAACTGCCAGAGAACAAGAAGAGGATACTCAGATGCATGTGTGCGTGTATAGGGGAATGGAATGTCTGTTTATATATCATCATGCCTTGTCTCTACTTCTGCAGATTTGTTGTTTTGTTTTTAAAAATTGAGTTTTCAGTCTATACTGAGAAACACTGTAAGAAATAGCCTGTTTGTGTCAATTTTCAGGATGTTTTTGAGGATGTTGCTCATTACATTACATAGTAAATTCTTTATGAGGACCCTTGAGAACAATTTATTTCTGATCTAGGACTCAGGAATAATTGAGATTCTCCTGAGTTACAGATTTGTTTTTTATTTTAGGAACAATGAGTACGTAACTGACTGAGTTTTCTTTAAGAATTGCCTGTAGAATGTGTAGAGGCAGGTTTGTTGCTTACTCCTGTGAAGCAAAGGTTTAGAAGTTCATGGTACACACTTTTGTGCTGTCCTCAATCCTGACTCCAGGTAATACGCCTGCCCTTAATTTTGTTCCTTTCTTTCTTTCATTTACTTCAAACTCATCACCGCTAGTAGGCAACTCCAACTCATGGCGACCCCATGTGTGTCAGAGTAGACCTATGCTGCATAGGGTTTTCAATGGCTGATTTTTAAACCTCCAGAAATGTTTTCAGAATGAGGTAGGGGTATAAATAAATAAATATGTTATCATAGAGCATCCAAAACCAGTTTTACTAGCTTTTTTTTTTCCCCCTCTTCAGATTGAGATGCTACCAGATGGGCTGTTTCAGTGCAAGAAGCTGCAGTGTTTACTGTTGGGGAAAAACAGCCTCATGAGTTTGTCCCCTCATGTGGGCGAGCTGTCGAACCTTACTCATCTGGAGCTCATTGGTAATTACCTGGAAACACTTCCTCCTGAGCTGGAAGGCTGTCAGTCCTTGAAACGGAGCTGTCTGATTGTCGAGGAGAAATTGCTCAACACTCTTCCACTCCCTGTAACAGAACGTTTGCAGACATGCTTAGATAAATGTTGACCTAGAGGGAAGAGACCCCATGTCTCAAAATCATTTTTTAAGGTATACTTCCGGAGGTTTAAATGAGAAGTAAAATTGCCCAAATTGTAAGATGAAAAGTGGGCAGTGAGTATGACTAACCATAACCAAATGTCTTATTAAAGCAACTCAGTGTCTAGCCCTTAATTAAACAGGTAAAAAGGGTTAGCACTGAACTAAAGTTTTGTGAGTAGCTGATCTTTAACTAATGGAGGTGTTGCAAGAAGGACAGGTCAAGGCTAGAATGGGGGGCATGGAATTATTGAACCCCTACCTTGCAGTTTTTACATTGAAGGTTGTATGGGTGTTCTTTTCCTCTCCCTCCCCTAATCCATTACTTATTACACACTTGTTTAAACTGACTTCCTATTCTGATATTTATGACCAAGATCATAAAAACATCCAAATAAATGTCTGTGATATATCCTCACCGCTGCCTTTGATTAACATCTTTTTTTTCTAAGGCAGGGTACATTATGTTTGGCCGAATTCCTTCTTGGCATATTTTTCACTTCCTTTCCCAGCTTGCTTGACTTTTCCTTAATCTGGTTTTCTCTTAACAACAATGATGAACCCTGAGAAAATTGCTGCCTTTGGCCTTTGCATGGAACAAGAGCACGGTACTTAGGAGATTTCACCCTGGGGGCATCCTGAAAATTAATATATTCTCTAAAATTTCTTCTTGTCTATCATCAAAACCATTTTTATTTGCTAAGAATTTTTATATTAGATGTAAAACATAAATATTTTCTATTGCATAATTTTGGATTGAACATCTGTATGGAGAATATATGCATTTCTTCAAGAATTTACTTATTAATGTACTTGGTTTTGACTGCTTATGATTCTCATGTTTCTGTGCATTCAGCTCCAAAATGTTTTTCTGCTCTGCAGCTAATTACATCTGGTTAACAAAAGCCTTGTGTTCCGTGCACAGAAATATTTGGGGGGTTTCCTTGAGAGAAGATGGCCCATCATTTACCTCTCTCTTCCCTACTTGTTGTGCTATCGTACGGGTACAATTCTTAATTACTTACAAAAACTGACGGAGGGGAGAGGTACAGATCTGGATTTTTTTAATTGATTTTAAAACACTTTGTAGACATTTAATAAGATTTAAAAAAGAAAATACTTCTTTTCCTCCATCTGCTTGATCTCTAGATATGATTATAATGTAAAACACTCAGCTCCTATTTAGCGACTAAGATGAGTTCTCAAAGCTCACAAAGAAATAGATCCATTTAACGCTGAAATTCATCCCATGCCTTTGTCTAATTCTTCTGGAATACATTTTGCTCCCTTTTCTAAACAGCATTATGTTTGGCCTTTTATTATCATGCATATTGTAAAATGAATAAAATGGACTGACTCATTTTGGGGAAATATACATTTTTAATGTGTTTTTCTCTCATGGATCTAGACATTATGATGCCAGCTCATTTTTGGATGTAGCTATGAAGTAACCTATTAACTGCACCTAGACAAAACTGGAAAACACTATAGTTAAAGAGTACTATGAGGAGCCCTGGTGGTGCAGTGGTTAAGCGTTCAGCTGCTAATCGAAAGTTCAGCAGTTCAAACCCACCAGCTGTCCCTCAGGAGAAAGATGTGGCAGTCTGCTTTCATAAAGATTTACAGCCTTGGAAACCTTATGGGACAGTTATACTCTGTCCTGTAGAGTCGCTATGAGTCTTAATTGACTCAAAGGCAATGGTTTTTTTTGTTTGTTTGTTTTTTTGGTTTTTTTTTCTTTTAAACAGTGCTATAAGCATGGGAATTGTGGTGTGTGGTGAATATATTATTTTTACTTTGCCTGTTCCAGAAGATAAAAGTGAGCCTTTAAGTTGTGGCAAAATGTAGCTTCCCTCACTTACCATACTCCCCAGACTGAAGTTCAGAGGAAAGAATTGTTTGTTCACGTTAAATTAAAACTTGAATATTAGCTATAAAAAATATAAAATACCAAAAGCTGCCTAACACCTGAATATTTATTCTGAATGGGAAGAACCAGTGTAAAATTTTAATCCTTACCAAAACTTGCCTTTGGTCAGAACATTCAGGTTCTCAGGGACCCAGGCATAACTGATGAAACTTTCTTCCAGGACTTCAGAAAACAGATTCTGACTATATTCAGGGTTTTTTGTTATTTTCATTTTTTTATGAGTTGATGATCATTTTATTGTTCATGTTTGTTTCATAATAGAATTGCCATGTGTTCTGATTCCAGTGTTGGATAGCATTACCTTAAGTTTTGGATGTGAATGTGAGATACATGGCGAGGTATTTAATTTTTTTTTTTTTTTTTTTTAAACAATAATTAGCCATGATATGTAAGAAAAATCCCACCCTGTCCTGTAAGGAAGTAGCCCTGGTGGTGTAGTGGTTAAGAGCTCAGCTGCAAACCAAAAGGTAGGCAATTCAAATCCACCAGCCGCTCTTTGGAAACTCTATGGGGCAGTTCTGCTCTGTCCCATAGGGTCCCTATGAGTCGGAATCAACCCGACAGCAACAGGTTTCGTTTTAGCCTATAAGGAAGAGTTTTCAAAACATGAAATTCAAATTTGCTTCCATTCACTCGATAAACTAGAACACCATGACGAGGTTCAACTGCAAAAATCATTGGCTAAGTCTTCCTTACCACCTCTCTAAATTTCAGGAAACAATTTACTAGCAGGATCAATCATGAATATTGTAAACTGCTTCCCACACTCTAGGATATAGTTTGTGGTGCAACTGTTGTTCTGATGCCATAGTTAATTTATAAATTTTGTCCTCTTTATTTTTTTTTGATCTTATTGAAGATTTAATAAGTGTTTAGGTAGCTTTTGAAAGGATGTATCGCTGATAAACTCTAGAGACTACCACTTGACATACAAAAATTTGATGTTAAAACCACCTCTACTGCATTTCTGGAGCATATCTTTATTTCATTAAGAGAATTTTAAATGAAGAAAATGAAGTTTATTAAAGTATCATTATGATACATTAGTTAGCATTTGTTTCCAAGAATGTGTAGTGCATTTTCCACAAAATAAATGTAGGTGTTAATCAGAGCAAAAGCTTATGGCTTATGCTAGCAAGAGCATTGGTTCATTTTATTTGCACACAAACATAAAGCTACAAACACATACATACAGACACACATCCCCCCATGTAGGCAAAATGTAACATATTAGGTTCTGATAGTTCAGTATTTTTTTCCAAAGTTGCAATAGGTTGTAGGTTAATGCTAAGGATATTATTTCTTTTTTATTTATTACTTGTAATCATTGAATGTTCTTTTCCCTTAATGATGGCTTTTAAAAGTAAAAGTGAATGCTCAATATCAGTTTGAGAACCTACATGTTATGAGCATTCCTGGAAAAGCTGTAATGTTTTCTTCTTAACCTACATCAGGATACATCTGTGTGGTACATAGATACTGTATCTCCATTCTTCATCGTCAGTCTTAATCTTCTCCCCCTGGATTTCACCATATTTCACTGTCACTTAACAAACTTTTATGTTAAACAGGGTAAAAATAGAGATCCTCAGGGTCTCCATGCTGTGGCACAGCTCTGATGTGAGTGCTGTGGTAAGCTACAGTGATTTATTGGCATACATTATCATTTGACGGTGAAAATATTTGTTTCTGTTCAAGTGTTTCATGATTCAAATTTTGTGCGTTTAATTAAAGTATTGCATAATCTTGCTTGGTTCAGAAACCGTTAAAATGATCAAACAATTATTCTATGGATTTATAGCTTTATTTCCCTGTGTTTTCAGTAGAATTTTCTTTCCATCTTTACATCTCTTAGCATGGTCCTACTCACATATTTTGTTTTCCTTTACTCACCCACTCTATAAATTACTTTGGCCAGTGCTTGTGTAGTAACAGAATATATTTGTGCTGAAGGACTTGCAGTGATATTTAAGAATGTATATGTTTGGGGAAAAACCAGATAGCCTACAATTATGCCATCCCTGCAGTATCTAGAGCTGATCCTATGATCCTTCCTCCCTGCCAGAGGTATGAGAACATAACTGTAGGTCCACTTTGTTTTCAGTCACTGTATATTACATCAGAAACTGTGTTTCTTTCTTTCTGGAGACAAGACAAAGGCTGGTGGTAAAGGGGAGGAGTTGTTTTGCATCCTGGTTTGTATTATGAAGACATTATGTACACGAAATGGTATAAACCAATAACTGTTGCAAAAGGCCCTGCATATAATTATTTCTTCTCCTCAGCTCACTGAAGGCTGAAGCAGTGAAAAAACCACAGCCCTATTTAATTTGTTTCTTCCTGTTTCTTGTCCATCATTTCTGCAGCTACTGGGAACTGTCTTTAAGTACCTTTAGTAATGGACTGCATTGTCTTCAGCTTTTTTTAATATGGACAATATCATCAGCACTAAAACATTAACAGAATATGCGAGCCAAAATACTGAATCCAGATCGCTTCCCATGAAACTTAATTCATATTTAATTTTGCATTTGACTTGTATAATACACTACTGCTGAGAAAAGCAATTGTGAACGCCTTCTGCATGTTGTATATTATCTCTAACAAAGACAGTACAATTTCTAAAATATAAAGAAGTGTAGAGCTAGAGTGTATGTGCTCATGTGTATATATGTTGTGGATAAACCTAAAAAAGGAAGCTTATGAGGATTTTTTAAATTCTTCAAGTGTTTTACTCAGTGAAACAATGGGCCAATTAGTTTGTTAGCTTCACAGTGAAGTCTAGCATTTTTTTATTTTATCTTTGTCACATATTTGGAAACATGTATACAGTCAATTTTTGCTTCTGGTAATGAATTATTAGAAAATGTAAGATTTTGTAGTTTTGGCCCTCAGATTTACCATGTAAATCTGCACTTTTGTGGTAAATCCCTTTGCTTGAGATTCAGTAGCTTTTGGTAAACTTTATTGTTTTTAAAGTTCCTTTTGTGTAAAATAAAGATTCAATTTTTATAATAAATGGCAAATTAAAACAGATTAAATGTTGAAAGAAGTTGACTAGTTTTTACCTGTGTTCGTTTATTAGGGTCCAGGCTCCGAAAGTGCTTCCCTTCCTCTTCCCACACCTCCCTGTACAGTTGGACTGTTACATTATTCCCAAATGATATGTTTTAGGTTTACATGTGAGTCTCATGACAGTAGTATGAGTTTTCAAAATATGCTTCACTGGTCGCAAAAATAGCAAGCACCTGAAAAGACCTGGATTGATCCTAGAATACACTGTGTATGTGGGGGGATGGGGGTGAAATCTGTCCCTTTACTAATGGATCCATCTTTCCAATAGTGTTTATCCTTAGAATTAGTCAGGGGCTGATAGCCACAAACCAACTCCCTCCTTCCCTTCTTGGCTTTCCTTTCTCCATTCACTATTCGCTTAGCACTATAGGATCACTATGAGCTGGAATCAACTCAACGGCAATGGATTTGGTTTGGTTTTGGTTAACCTGAAAGGTGGAGCAGATTAAAGCTAAAGAATTGTAAGACATGAAATACTGAGAAGTTTAGCAAAGGGAGAAAAAATTGAGTAATTATGTAAAATATAAATGATAGTTTGGTCCTTTGGATAGAAGACATTCTGAAATCTCTCAAACACGCATACACACCTGCAGGACCATGTTAGAAAGCTGATACCCAGAACTTTTCTCTGCTGGAGAAGGGAACTTGATATGTACTGGACCAGATTCTGAGGGAAAGTGACTCTGCTTTTTGAGTTTTTTTAAAGGATGGATTGCATATAAGCCAGATGGCCAATATTGTTCAGGGGGAAAAAAATCTGATAACTTCGAAAAAGGCTTTCAATCCATGACTAAGTGCCTTAGAAAAGAAGGAAATAAATCTGGTGCCTGACTCCAGGCATCAACAGCCTTTCAGAGACTGCTAGGTGCTTTAAGATACAGTGTCCTGTGCTAACAGTCTGAGGGCAGTAATTGTGGATTCATGTACCTCAGGATGGCATCCATTTCCACATGTCAGAATGGCTTTTAACAATGCAGTGAAGGGCTTGTCCATGGAAGAGAGAGAGGTTGTAAAGACACAACTGGCCACGTTGGTGCTGGTGAGGGAAAGATTTGATCCTCTTAGAGCTGTGATGTTTCACTAGTTTTCTGCTCCCTTCTCCTCTGGGCAATCTGTTCCCACTTCCTCTGAGATCCAGAGCAAAGAAGCTGTTAATCAAAGGGCACAAAGACAGACCTTGAACTCAAGCCACATGTTTACATAAGAGTGTATATATCCACATGCCAAAGAAGGATTAAAAGTTATTTTCTAACATGGTGTAGCCTGTTTTTTAAAGAATAAATCTCTCTCTTCACCTTATGTTGTCCCCCTCATTTTCTTGAGTCTTTCTGCCTCCAAAATACCAGTGCTTCTGTAGAGCTGCCTCTCTGCTACTGAGTAGATGTTCAAATTATTTCTTATAGTACCTGTACATTTTTTACATCATTTTACAATGTCCTGGTGGCGCAGTGGTTAAGAGCTACAACTGCTAACCAAAAGTTCTGCA